AATAAATAATTTCTGCAATAAATAAATAAATAAATTAGTATACACATGATTTCCTAGTTGTTGTTTTTTTTTTTTTTTGAAACACACACCGATTTCCGAACGGTATCACAAACATGATACACACTGGCACGTCCTAATATATTTATGCCTTCAAACAGGCCCTCTCTACGGGTTTACTTGCTATCCATTACATCACCACTTTGACAGGTTTGACAGCGAACAACTAAAACCTCCTTTTACATCGGCCTCCTCTCAGCGCTCTCCTCCTCAAGCACTCAGAGAGGACGAAAGCAACAACAAAAAAAAACCCCCGTCCTGTTCATCACCAGGTTCCCCCGCCCCCCCTCCCACCCAACAGCCACCTCACTGCTCCAAACCAAAATGGAGTCTCATTTTGTGTATTAATATTTACGAAAGGGTCTCAAATGCATTTCCCCCCCTCGTTGGAGGCAGATTCCCGTCAATCTTTGACTCTGCCCAGTGCAGACCTGTGTAGTGGGGCTCACACTGGGTTGGTCTGGGAATGGTCAGCAGGCGAGTAAGCTGGAGGGACGGGGTTTGGTTTAATGCTTTTGCTCTTCATGTAGGAGATCAGCTGGTCGGGGATCTCAGCCAGTACGTCTTTAGCCAGTCGGGCCATGCTCAGCACGTGGTTACCTGTACGGTCCATGTAGTCTCTGAATGGCACAAACTGTTGGGACATGGAAAAGAAATGAATCACTTTTTGAAATGTGTGTGTCATCATGCTCTGCACACTGTCAAATCTGTATTTGAGCTGTAGTTGAAGGACTGTTTTGAGGTACCAAGCACAGTCGGACAGAAGTCAGAGAAGTGATGCAGCAGAATTCAAACAGAAAAGTTTAAAGGCATAAAGGATCAGAGGTGCTATCAGTGCAAAGCAAATCAAAACTAAGGCTCACATAGATGTTTGAATGGATCTCATTTATCATTGTTCTTGGGTGATGACACTGGACTTTTTGGATTCTATCAACTTCTAATTTCACTTGGTAGCTTTAAACTGGTTCTAATTTCAAAAATTGTACGTCTGATGTCATGATTTTTGCATCTTTTCAATTTTTTCAACTGCAACTCAACCACTGGTTTTTTGGAGTACGATAACAGAGTAAAGAAAAGGAAAGAATGGTCTTTTTAATGACAAAATGATGTTTTACATTTTACGTTTTTTTGTTACCTAAGTTGAATGAATTAGAGATATCAAGTTTCCCTAAAGTTAAGTTGCAGCAATGCATACTGCGCATTTGAAAGAGATCAAATTATTTAAGTGCATCTAACTTAAACCAGTGGCACTGATACTTCTTAACTTAATTTAGATAAACTTAATTCAATTCTGTGTTAGCAATCGAATTTATTTAAGCTGGCACAACAACGCTCTGTTTTCAATATGTATTTTAGTCTAAAAGGCCATTATATTATATTATATTATATTGTATTATATTATAT